AGGATCCGAAGCGAGGAGGCAAGCTGAGCACGTCCTACTGACTCACACTTTCCATCTTCGGCGGGGTCGCGAACCTGTCCGGCCATTTCCACAGGAGGCTCCATTAACTGGCGCCCATAAAGGGCCTTTTCCCAGCGGAATATCACGCTGAATGTAAACACACGTGTTGCAGATTACACTGAATCCTGGCTCTGTGTTTCGTGGTCATGCCTTTCTAAGCAGGGACTAATAACACAGTACAGATTCTGGTGCATCCCTCAGTGAACGTTTAGAAGTGTAAGGTTTCACACTCATTTTCAGTCATTTGAGGAATGCATAGACCAGATAGTCTCAATGCCCATGTGGAACATACATCAGCAACAGCAAATATAATATAATCCCTCTATTTTTGTATCCGGTTGACCGTTTATGATCATGGTACCAGTAATACTGTCCATCCCTTTTCCATAACTACTTATCCCAGTGCAGGGAATACTGTGAAACTGTGAATGTATTCCAGGAAGCACAGGGCATGAGGTAGGGTACGCCCTGGACGGGATTCCAGTGCGTCACTGGGCACACATGCACAGTGGGCAGTTTTAGATATTCTAGTCAACCAGGACCACATGGTTTTGGCCTGTGGGAGGAAAGCTGAGTATCTGGGGAAACCCATTTAAACCAAAGGGGGAAGTAGCGGGCATGACTCAGAGTCCCCAACCCCCCCCGCCTGAAAATGTCACGCAGATAGTAAAGAATGAATGAAGTGATGCATGAATCTGTTCCCTTCCGTGCTCGCAGGACGCATTTGAAGCTTGAGAGCCTTGAAGATTGCCGCATGCTGGACGGCGACGACGACTCCATGTCAGACAAGCATGGCTGCCCCGCCTACGTCAGTCCCGAGATCCTCAACAGCTCCGGCTCCTACTCTGGGAAGCAGGCCGACGTGTGGAGTCTGGGCGTCATGCTCTACACGCTGCTGGTGGGCCGGTACCCCTTCCACGACGCCGACCCCAGCACGCTCTTCTCCAAGATCCGCAGGGGCCAGTACTGCCTCCCCGACAGTCTCTCCCCCAAGGCCAAGTGCCTGGTTCACAGCCTGCTGCGCAAAGATCCCTGGGAGAGGCTCACAGCAGCAGAGATACTGCTCCACCCGTGGTTCCAGAGCACACAGGAAACAGGAAATACAGAACAGGAAGTAGGCCCTGCGGACCAGACTGTACCCACATTTCATCTGGAGGAAGACGACTCCCTATTCTGTTGATGATCGACCTCATGAAACTGAACTCGAACCATTTCAGTTCTTTTTAAATGTGTTCTAGTGCCCGGACTCGAGGTCGTGTTACTGTCATTTTGTGAAGAATTGCACACGATAGCTTGAAAGTTGTCTGCCTCCTACTGTGCAGCGGCACTCAATGCCTTGGGCTTGCCGTCGAGTCGACAGGGACAGCGGCCCGTCGGGGGGGTCGAGTACCGCGTCCAGGAGGTCGGTCAGTCGCTCTCAAAGCAGCAAGAGACCTCACAAGCCTCAGAACCTGAGGTACAGGCGCGCCGGGGCAGATGGAAGAAGTGGGGGAGATGAAAGACGTAGTGGAAGTTTCTGCCTCTGGAGACCTGGAGCGCTATCTTGGTGGATGAATACGCTGACAGGCCTCCTAAAAGCTACGGGGGCCTGTCCCACTTAAAAGCAAAGAAGGAGAGCAAGATCAGAGGCTTGCACTCACACACACATGCTCAGGGTGTCCTACATCAGGCCCGCTGGGAAGTAAACGGCTGTCCTATTTACTCAGGCGCCTAAGACGTCTTTGGTTCCCAGGGAAGCCGGACACTTATCCACAGTGGCACCTGGCACCTCTGCGGAAGGGACCCCTGGCACTGACCAATCATGGTGAAGAGAAGGCCAGTCAGCACATGAAGAACTGGGGGGGGGGGGGGGGGGTGGTCGCAGGTCGCAGCTGCTTAAAGTCAGCTTCGGCAGGCTCTGCATTTGACTCGAGCTGGACGTCTGCCTCCGACAACGTTTCCTTGTGTCCTTGTTCTGTGTTTGAGTCTTGCCCTGACTCACCGCTGTGGCAAACTCCCCGGCACCCTGCCGGTGCTTGTTGATGTGAGGCGATTGGGGGGGGGGCACAGAAAGTCATTGAGTGTGAAGGAGGAATTGCGAGGGGCGTCTGCCGCTGCAACCAGCGTTCCCAGCGACCCGGAGCGCCTTCAGGTCACGTCCCTGGGTCCTGTGCTCAGCAGGATCCCACACCCTGGAGGCACCATGTGACCGGTCGCTCCTGGCGATGACATGTGCAATCTGCTGTTTGTTTTTCCTCTCTTTCCCCAAACCCTTGTTATGGTTCTCGAGGAGGGTGGGGCCCACGCACAGTTAGCATTTTAATCGGTGCCACATGGATACCTGAAACTCCAGGTGAGGCGTATCGGATCGTACACAATTCCCCCGCTGTAGAGGAAGTAGTCGTTGGCATGGTGACGTGGCATGTCTTCCGAGCCTCGCACCCGTCTGAGACTCGAGCGCCTGATGGGCTGTCGCTTAGTCTGTCAGCCCTGACAGGGAGCTGCGAGGGTGTCCCAGCTGGCTGCTTTGCAGCGCCGATCTGCAAGTCGCTGGCGGTGGCGGCTGTCAGACACAGCGCTACTCCACTCGGCCTGAATCATCCCGCGTGAATAAGACGACGAGCTGGCGGGGGTCCGAGCCGGAGAAGGGCTCAGCCACTTCCTCCACTACCTAGGAGGTTATAAACGGGTTATAGTGAAGATAAAGTGGACGTTTGGGGTGGGATTCCCCTATCACACATGTAACACTTAAGGACAGGCTGGCTGCGCACAGCCAACGCATTACAGAGGGTTTTTTTTTTTTGCACTGTGCATAATTTGTTTGCCATTCGTGTTTGTAACACAATTTGAGATCTTTACCGAGACCTGGTGTGTTTGCTGTAAATCGAAGTGGAAAAAAAACGCTAATGTAAATATGTAAATTTACGGACAAATATATGAACAGTGTATGGACACAAATAAAAGAGGGTGACTTTTTCTTTAGTTGCGCATTTACGTTGCTGGCGCACTCGCTCACCGAGCCATTGCCGCTTTGGAGTGTTCATGAGAAATAATGCACACGACTGACAAGCAAAAGTACATGAACACAATCAATAATCTTCACCATTAACCGCCAAATGTCCTTCCCCTGTTGCAAGTCCTAAACTGTAAATGAGTTTGAAGTTCCTCTAAAGTCAGTTGTTTTTTCACAAATAGAAAGATTAGCAGAGAGACTCTGGTTTACACGCTTAAAAATCTGAGCAACAGATCACACCTGTCTACGGAAGATTAAACCACCAGATATGTTCATTTATTACTGGCCACTAAAGCTTGCGTCGAAACGGGATCAGCGTGTTCACACTAAGCGCGTGGATCCGGATTCGAATCGGTGTGAGAATCCGCACTAAGGGGAACACACGCTTCTGGAAAATCAGCTCATTGATTTATGGGGTAAAGTGTCAGTTCACTGTGCAGCACCTTTCCTTTCTCGCAAGGCGCGCGTTTCTACAACGTTTCGACACATCTATGCTGAGTATCTGCGCATCTGTTATGATTTTATACCTCTTGCGACAGCAGCTGATTAGAGCCGGGATTAGGTATCTAGGTTGCTAAAACACGACAACTGCTGGGCGACAGCCAGCGATCATGGCACGCCACGGCAGAGATTGCCCAATACACGGGTGGGGTGGAAGGGACAAGGTGCGCTCATCACGGCGACCCCCGGCACCTACCGCGAAAGATGCAGATACGTAAAGGCGGGGGGGCTGCGTGAAAGCATTTTAACCAAAACTCTTGCGGCAAACTCAGTGTAAAGCCTTTATTCCAGTGGGCAGTCTTTAACATTTTCTGGGATATTTAGCAGCACTCCGGTTCAATCTGCAATCTGCTTTTCACTCTGCTGTTGGGAGCTGATGTTATGTATTTTTGTGCCTGAAGAAAATTATTAAGATCAGACCTTGGTACACACCTAGTCTCACCAGGAAAGGTATATTGCTTTGCAGAAAAACGGCAATGCTTTGATTTTTTTTTTAGCGTAAACATCCGTGTTAAAATCTTGCAGTAAAAAAGTACATTGCTCAGTTATGCCTGGTTGCTCTCCCCCACATCAGTCCTGAGTCATAGCCTATCCTAAGGGCGAAAAATCGTCCCAGTAGAAACCTACATGCAAAAAACCATTTAAAACTGTAATTCAGCAGCGTGTTTGTGGAACATGCGGATAGAGGGGGCGATCGGTGCGTCTTTCATCATACTCCATCCATTTTCATATTTAAATAATTTAGGTGGCGTGCTGTGTTAGAAAATCACAGCGACAAGTCCAGCTGCTGGACCACCACACGGCTCCTGCATGTTTATAAGTGATGTATAAAAGTGGAAAGCAAATTTCACAATAATAACACGGGTGACATCTCATACAACAAAGAACTGGAGTGACGTTGAGTAAGTTCGACTGAGAGGTTCCTATTAATTGGACAAAAAAAAAGCTATTTTATTACACTTACCATTTTGTTTGGGAATGAGGGGGCGTTGCCAGAACCTATAATTAACACCATTAACAGCAGTAGAAATTTTCCATGACGTACTTTCTGATCTCAAGCAGTTTTTCTAATACATTTCTATTAAATACTGTAACACCGAATAAATACGCAAATGCATACATTAGATTCCGATTAACAACCTGTATGACAGGAATAACAAATAGACGAATCAAAAAGTTTCTCTCTTTTAGGATCATTTTGTGCCACCTGCTGGTGAAATTGAGCACAACAATCTGTTAACGTCGATCCGCCTTCAAGTCATTTGTCCAGTGAGTGTTGCAATGGAACTATTCTCTCCACTTCCACCCTACGATGCCTTATTAAACCACGGGCTCCTCAGCGTGGTAGATATACAGCGGAACAGACTGTATTAGATAGCCAGAGCATCCCTGTGTGTCACGGAGAAATATGCAAACTCCACATACATGCAACTAGACTGGGATATAAACTCCAATGCGGGAGGTATGAGGCAACAGTGCTATTGAATAAGCCACCGTGCCACCTTACACACTGGGTCAAATCAGTTAAAATCTATGACTAACCTCAGTCCTGTGTTCTGAATTACACACCAAACCTGGCAGCATAGGCTATGCGGCCAGGGAGCACCACGGAGCATGCGCATACACTATAGATATTTTAAAAATTCTAAATCCAAATGATTGTCTTTGGACTGTGGGAGGAAACCGGAGAGCCTAGTGGAAATCGGCACAACATGGGGTAAACATGTAAGTTCCTCTACATACATGCATCATCTATCTATGTGACTGATCCCGAAGCTCAATTTTACCTGGGTCGCTGTACTAGTCAATCGCCTGATAATACTCAACGTTTGCATGTTTGTAGATGGAGACGCCGAAAAAATGAAGACACCACAGCACAATTTTTTGTTCCACTCATTTCTGAATTTATGGCTGTGCGTCTGTGATTTTATATACACACTGCAGCCTGGTTTTTTCCTGTTAGTAATTATATAATTAAGAGCTTCTTCCTTGCTTTATGGGACTTCAGACCTGCATTTCACACCTTCACTTGATGTTATCCTACGATTCATAAGAAACTGTCGGATAAGTTGATGGTCATCTCTGGCATTAGAACGTCGCTTCCGCCCTTTTCTGGTTGGTTTCCGGTCGTTCCCAGTGTCTCCTATTTCTCCTTGTTCTTCTGTACTACTGTCTTAGAAATTTTTAACCTGAAAGTAACCTGCTGCTCAGCGTAGCATTCTACCAGCAGAACCACGATTAAATCAGAATTTATAAATTCTAATGTGTTTTAAAATAAGGAGGGGTCTCGATTTTTTTCCGTGGATGTACATTAATATTCCAGATAAACTTTCAGAATGGATTAAAAGATAATTTTTAAGTGCCATCGACATAATGGAATTTAGAATAATCACATGGGATTTATTTGGGCATCTGAGGTGAACGGAAACATATTGTAACAAACTTTCAGGCATTAATTAAAAAAAAAAAACCGAACTTCATTGAATGGCTTAATTGTAGTTCTCTAATTGACCACTGGATGGCACCCAATTCAAGTCATCCAATGACAATCACGGGTTCCCGCAAACTCCCTCTGGGACCTCATTAACTGAGGAGCTGTATAGTGGTGAAGTAAGTGGACTGAGCTCGAAAAGGCCATTTTTAGCACACTTTTGTCAGAGAAGGTCAGACTCATCTGTAAGGCCAGATGACCCTGCTTTGCATCACATTTGGCCGATAAGCAGCGGAGCCCATTTTAGCTCTGTGTGGAGTATTCGACTCCTTGTCGTCACTGGCCGTGCTATGTCACTTATCACCATTGTGTTCTGTGGGTAAAATGCATGTCCAGATGTTGTCCCTGGGCTTGTGTCGTTAGCATTAGCCAGAAGTGGGACAATCATGGAGTTCGTTGGTCGTCACTCAGCACACTTTGCACACAGTGACTCGTACCCGGCTGATCCCGTGACAGTGACATCTGAGGGCACTAGATTCTGTCATCTCTGCAGGGGTTGACGGCTGCAGAAACAGAAATGCCTCTGGCATTCTCGATTTACAGTCCGCCCCCAGATTTATGATGACAGCCCCCCCTCCGTCCTCAGTTGAAAGTGCCACCTGAGTTCCGATTTTTCCTTTGTGTCGTATTTAAAATTCGGGAGCCGCTTTCACGAGGCACGTGTCCGCGCCTTTAAACGCACCGTGGGGACCAGAAGCAGAGAGCCTTAAAGGCGCTGGTCACATGACCTCCGGGGCGCTGGTCACATGACCTCCGGGGCGGCTGTCTGCCACCGCTTACCTCGAGACACCGTTTGGTCAAAAGGCTGCTGGGGCTTTCAATTACCAGATTAAACTGGATTCGCCAGTTGGTCCCTCTGAGGGGATTATTAAAAGGATAAAAAAAGTCAACCGTAATAACAGTGATAAAATTCGACCATTTAGGCAGTACACACTGTATGTGTGCATGAGAATAGTATGCATGCTTTCGGCCACACTGAGGCGGCCATCTTGGATATTAACCGACCCGGATGTCTACCAATGATGTAGCCTGACCCCTGTGAAAGTTAAAAACTGTTAAAAACTATATACAATAGATATAGTTGGTTCAACTTATGTAGTTGAGTATTTTCTTGAACTTAAATTTGTACAGTCGGCAATTCCTCCACCATCTTCATGAAAGTTTCTGAGTGAGCAGTGTTCTTCGACTCCGGCTGCAGCTCCACTGGCCTCCTGGGGTAGCGTAGCATCCATCGGTTGCACGCTTTGGAATTTCTCAGAATGTCGTATGTCATCCTGGTACCTTTCGCCTACTGCCTCATCAGTACTGAAATACTGTGCACACACTGCTCCCATCACGTACCATACTTCGCCTACTATAGTTCGCCTACTACATAGCAAACAAGCCTGTGATTTCAGACGCGCCCTGAGACTGACGAGAGGTCCGACCTGGAACTCCTTGCTGTCACTGTCACTCCTGTAGTGGTGTCACTTAGGTGAGAAGTTTTAGTGTTAAATGCTGAAATGCGCAGCACACTTCCGATATAATTAAACCTCCTGCTCGACCAGCTTCTTCCAATTTCCCATAAAGCTTCTTCCATAGACGCATGGAAGCAAACAAAGAATGTGTTGAGGTGGGGCAAGGTGAAGCTAATCTTTTAATAATCTTACAGTGCTTTATTTAATAGGATTTCAGATGGCTGATTTTTCTCCCTGCTCTCAGCCTGCGATGCCTTATTAAACCACAGACGCCTCGGCGCGGCAGACAGAGCGGCACAGGCGGCTGAGTCGGGCTCTCTGCCATTAATTCATCCAATGTGGGTCAGAGTGAGTCAGGTCTGAATGCTTCTGAAAGACAGAGGCGTCTAAATCAGGTCTAATCTTCGTCTAGCGGGTTGTGGCACTGCGGTCATTTCCCAGCAGTTCTCCCCTCAGAGAGAAGTCGCCGGACCCAGGGACCCCACATCACCCACATCACCCACATCACCACACACACACA